GCTCTCAGTTCTGGGAGCCAGTTTGGTTCGATAGCAACCTTGATCCAATTATTTGGGTCCCACATATGTACAGGAGGCTAGGATCATGTAGCACGAAAAAGTGGGGCCCTAGGTAGGAGAGAACCACCCTCCCCCACTGTGTATGTGGGACAAGAATAGCATTCTGCAGAGATCAGACGTGGTTAGGTATCATGCTGCTCCACATAAGGTGACATTGAGACGGACAGAAAAAGAGCAAACTCGTCAGCAAGCTGGCCAGTGCGTACTGTCAGCAGAAATGACCGCTGTGGCTCCCTGCAGATCCCTCCCCAAGGGCACACTCGACAGCTGTTTGACAGTCAGGTAAACCTGTCTCATCATGCACCTCCGCCTGCTGCCCCTGAGCTGGGTGACCTGGGGCTGGGGGAGGGTGAGCTTAGGAAAGGTTAAGGGGTTGGTGGGGGTTGCCCACTGCCATTTAGTTCTCAGAGACTGATGAGCTTAGAGCTGCATAAACATACACAGAGAAGACAGCACTTCAGCTGACCCTGGCAGCTACTCAATGGCTTTTTTTAGTTCTTAAAACTGGCATCTGTTTACATTGGGAGAAAACATCCTCATTCTATCAGCTAATCTGAGTACATGACACAATCACATACATGTATTTCCCAACATAATGTGGGATGAAAGTATCTATAGTTTGGGGAATTTTCTTGGGACCTCCCCAAGGCCTGTGCACTCCTGGAGGGTGGGAAGAGACCACTGCTGGCATGCTGGGACCTCTCAAGCATGTTCATGGTACCAAGACGACAAGTTCCAGCCGTGTGAGAGAAGGTGAAGCAGGTTGACCTGTGAATTCCACAGGCCAGGTGCACAAGTGTGGCACACAGTATATCCCGAGTGCTTGCATCCTTACCAAGGATGAAGAGGACAAGTCCTGTCTCTGGAAACTGACCATCTGCATGCACAGGAAAGATATATGCAAGTTTATGAGTACGAAGGTGGGCAATGTCTCTAAATGGCCAAGTGACCTAGCACTGTGTCTCTGAGTTGAGTGGAGACAGGGCAGTCCTTCAAAGGTTTGGCATCTTCAAGGAGGTGACAGAATGAGGAGAGGAGAGGTAAGGATAAGGTGAAGGTCACAGGTGGGACCCTATAGTGTAGCATTTACAGATGGGGATGCAGGGGAAAAGTTCAGAAATACAAGATTAGAAATGCAAGGTCTGGAGTGGAGGGCTAAAGAGAACAGATGTTATTCCCTAAGTAACGGGCACTGAAGATTTTTGAGTAGGGGATGGGTTGGAGAGTTGAAAGTAGCAGTTAGGAATGGAATAGGGGGCGTGGTATGCACATGGATCTCAGGCATGAGTGGAAGCTACTGGAGTTGAGAGGAATGGATCAGATGCAATGGCAAGTAATTCAAGATCCAGGTGCTTAGAGCTTGGACTCAAGTCTAAATGGGAGGGCGGACTTGGGACTAGACATGTGACATGTTACTAGACATGTGACATGTTACAACTTGATGTCTTATGCCATCAAGTTGTGGTAATCTGTTGCAGCAACAATAAACTTGGGACTTGCTAGCTCATTTGGCCTGGGAAGAAGAAAGAAAATGTCCAACTTGAATGGTCCATTCATAGTAGTGGCAGAAACAGGGAATATTTTCCACATCCACATATCCAACAAGTGGCAGAAGTAGAGGGCAATCAGTGAGCTCTATGCAGTCTGCCCTTACAGAACACACTTCCCTTTCTCTTATCCCCAGCTCTTCCAGGAAAGGCCCTAAGGCCATCCGAGTTACATCAAGGTGGAGATGATAGAAGGACAAAGAGGAAACAAATGCCATTGCCAGCCCAGTCATCAGTACTTTACTCACATACTGAGAAATTCTTCAAATAAACCAAAGAGTTTGGGGAGAGGAGCGCAGCAAGGCTTGGCTGCTCAGAGAAGGGGCTCGGAGCTCTGGAGCCCTCAGGTCTCCTCCTGCCTGCCGGCACCAAGGGGACAGACAGGCAGACAGATGGGCTGAAGAAAGCCCTTACGGGGAGCACGGTCCAGCCTTCGGCTAGAGGTCCTCCGGTGCTCCACCTGTCAGGAAGCGGAGCAAGGGCAAGAACCTCTGTCAGGATGTCAGGCAGAAAAGGGATCTGTGGGGACAGGTGGGGAGTTTATTTGTGGCTGTGTTGAGTTTGACAGGATAGTGAGGCCTTAGGGAGACAGGGAGACCTAAACTCGGATGGGAGGTCAGGGCTTGAGTCCAAGGCTTGGGGTCATCTGACAGAGATGGAGACTCGGGAGCATCATTCAAATTCATTCCTCTTTAGAGCAAAGTTGACATTGGTTTCTCTCCAATTTGCATTCCCATCTCAGCTGGTTTATGTGGTAGGAGTAATAAGATGGCAGATGAATGCTAATGAGAAAATAAATGGAAGAGGCATCTTATAATTAATCGCGTTGTGATTATGATTATGGACTCACTTAAGGAAAAAACACCATTTTTCCTGAACATGAAGGACAGGACCAGGGATTGGATTTTAAGGTCCTGCGGGCTTTCAGTCTTGTCCCTGTCCATTTTTCTTTTCCCCACTAATTAATTAATTTAGACCCTAGACTGAAGCTGGTCCATTTCTTCCAGGAAGTCCCATGTTAATTTGAATTTGGCCTTCTGATCCTCAAGGACTGAGGCTGAGTGTGCCATAATCATTCATTGAACAAACAGTGCATTGATTCTGGGATTGCAGTGTCGATTTCTCTCCCCACTTTCCAAGAAGGAAGAGAATTAGGTCCTATAAAATACTAAAGGGATATGAGGAAAGCCTAGAGGTTGTCCATATTAAGATGTAGACAGACACTACTATGTGCCTCTAAAATGCACCTAGGGGGTGGTGCACTCAGGAATGTAGTAAAGAGAAGGTGATAGAAGGTGAGGGGGGACTTTGGGAGGTGATTAGGTCTCAAGGGCAGAACCCTCATGAGTGGAATTAGTGCCGTTATGAAAGAGATCTGAACGCTCCCTTGCTCCTTCTACCATGTGAGGACACAGCGAGAAAGCGCTGTCTATGAACCAGGAAACGGGCCCTCACCAGACACTGAACGTGTAGGTGCTTTGATCTTCGACTTTCCAGTCTGCAAAACTGTGCGAAGCAGAGTTCTGTTGCTCATAAGCCACTTGGTCCATAGTATTCTGCTATCACAGCCCAGACTGACGAAGGCAGCAGAGGAGCGGTAGCAAGAGAGACAGAAAAGAAGATGGGGCTGCAAAAACAGGGGTCAAGGAAGCCAGGAATCCAAGGAGGAGTGAGCACCAGGATCCAAAACAACCACTACGCTGGAAGAGTGAGAACCACTCTTGCAGGCTACCAAACCTGCAAACACTTGGGAACAATGGACTGGTTTTTGTTTTGTTTTGTTTTGCTTTTTTAGACCTCTGCTACATTCTTTCCTTCAGTGTAGGTTAGTCATAACTAATGACAGAAATGGTGATGTAGGTTACTTCTGAGTCTAAGTCATAAAGATAGTGGCAAGAAACAGGGTCTGGGAAGTCCCCTGTGATAGGGAGAATAATGTCCCCCAAAGATACCCATGTTCTAATTCCCTGAACCTGTGAATATGTTATGCTACTTGACAAAGAGGAATTAAGGTTGCTAATCAGATAACCTTAAAATAGGGAGAACGTTCCAGATTATCCGCTTGAGCTCAGCATAATCACACAAGTCCTTAAAAGTGGAAGCAGGAGGCAGAAAAGTCAGGCTCCAAGTGGCCTGGCCATTGCTGGCTTTGAAGGAATGAGGGACCCAGAAGCCAAGGAACTCAGGCAGCCTGCAGAGCTGGAAAAGGCAAAAAGCAGAGTTTCCTCGAGCCTTCAGAAAGAATGCAGCACCGCTGACACTTTGGTTTTTTAGCCCAGAGACATTCACTTCTCGTTGTCTTATGCCATCAAGTTGTGGTAATCTGTTGCAGCAACAATAAGAAATAAATATAGGGCAATACCCACCCCTGTTCCTCATATGTGATCCATTTCTACTCTCAGAACATGCTTATTATTTGTGCTTATTTGTCTATGGTGTATATTTTCATTATGCATTTTTGTCATTTCTCCTTTAAAACTATAAGCTCCTTCAGAGTAAGGCCTATGTTGTGTTTTGGGTTTTGCTTTTCAAATGTATATCTGAAGCACCAAATACATTGTTCTTTCCATTAAGAATGTGACCAGTCATTTATTGGACTGTCTAAAAGTAGAAGCAGTCAGCTTAGCAAAGAGATAAAACAAGAAAAGATCTTGTGTAAAACAAAATCTGGAATCCCATTTATTTGTTCTCTGTCAAGTTAAAGCCAAAGAATCACATCGGTGGCAAGCTAGCTTATTGAGATGTTTTTTCCACCTCTTTTTTCCCTCTGATATCCAGCTTACAGCCAAGTTTCATCTTCCCTCAGTTAGGGGACTGGGGATAGAGGCAGAAGGGACAAGCAGAAGCTAGGAGGTCACTGGCTCCTTCCCAACTTGTCAAGGCTTCAAAGGGATGCAACTCCTTCGGAAGGAGGAAGACAGAAAAGCTTCCAGTGGGTAAGGAAGGTGGGTCCCCAGAGTCTGAGAAGGACACAAATTTCCTCTGAACAGCAGGGATCTGAGTGCTGTTGATGAGAGACCTCAGAGGGGGACACTATAAGCCAGGCCAAGGCCTGCGGGTTCCTTGAACCACCCGCTATGCCCAGGCTCCATGCAGAGTGCAGGAACTGAGAGTGTGAGGGGTAGGGGTAGAGCGGTGGGGAACATCCAGAGACCACACACACTGGCATCTAGTACCTTCACCGCCTCCCAGCGCTTTGACCTGGGACTTGTATGGACCAGGTGGAATGGAGGGAGGCAGCGTGGGGGAGCCTGTGGTCACCAAAATACACCTTCTGACTAACTCGTCAGGAGGCAGAGAGGGGCTGGAGTCTGAAACATGAGGATTTAAAACAAAACTACGAACACGCTGCACATCCCCGTTTTGGACTAGTATTCCAAACAATGACACTGCTTTTGGCTTTAAATGCAGATTTTTAATCTCAGGGTGGAGACCTGGGTAGGGATGGTGTTGAAGGGGGTAGCACATCCTTGTCGTGCAGCTCAGGGAGTGGGCAAAGCATGAACAGAGCTGCTGGTGGGTTCTGTGGCTGCTCTAGGTTGGAAGCACATGCTCCGTCTCGTCAGGGAAGAGGCACAGATACATCAGAAGGCAGCTCCAGATGCCAAGGGTGAAAAGGATTCCCAGGCCTGGTGTGGACGTTTCCTGCCAGGTGGGGAGAAAGGCAGGACCCTGAGGCAAGGTCAGGTCCGCAGCCAGCAGGGCACCCTCCCCACCACGGGAACCTCTGGGGAGCAGCCTCAGGCTTGGCCGCCCCAGTCCTTCCTGGTGCCACGTCCTCTACGACTGAGTGATTGTGCTGAGTGGCAGAATCCACTACTATCCCCACTCCCTGCACAACCACAGTGGGGCGTTGCTGAGAAGGCAGCTGGAGCACACTCCCTTGGGGACAACAAGACACCCACTGAGATGAGGCACTTCTCGTATGGATCTACCTACCCCTGATTGCGGTTGGTCTTTAAGGCACACAATATACATTTCTCCTGCAGAGGACAGAAACGGCACAAGAAAGGTCATTTTTCCTTGGTCCAAGGTGGCCAACCTGCCGGGCACCTCATCAAGCCTTGCTATAGGAAAGGACAGAATAATACAGTGGAGCTTGGGAGCAGGCAGATCCAGGATCCAGTCCTACATGGTCATGGTTTAGGAAGATTCACAGGAATAGGAGCCAAAGCAGGCAAGGAAGGGCGCCAGCCTAGGGAGGCACCCAAGGGCCAGCAGTGGGGCGGTGTCAGCTCCTCTCACAGCAAGAGCTCAGGGGAAGGCGGAGCAGAGGAGCCAGGGCTCCAGGACCAGTACCGGGCTGAGGCAGGGCTGCACTTACGCCACAGCTCCTACACTGGTGAAGTGAATCCAGTGGGTCCTTTTTTGTTTTTTGTAGTTCCATCATCTTCTTGTGAGGAGGTAATGGTGCTCTATTAGCTCCTCTATTAGCTCCTTCCGTTTTCTTGAGCCTGAGCTGGGGGTTTATGTCAGCTGTTCCCATCAGCCTGAGGTCCTGCTGCTCCTTTGATCCTCTTTGCAGGGGGCTGGGGGTCAGGGAGAAGTGGAGAGTTGGGGAGACAATTTCTATCAGCGCACGGGTGGCAGGGAAAAGCCTTGAGTCCAAGCCACTGGGACAGCAAGAACCAAGACAACTCCCTGAGGAACCTGCCTGTCCTCTGAATCCCAAGGGCATTCCGAGGAGGGAGATTCTTTAGGGATAAGGAGTGATAGATCCAAGTTACACTTACAGTTTGCTGTCCTTCTGTATAGTTATTAAAACATCCATCTTCTCATCCATATCCTTCTGCATTTCCTTCAAGAGAGAATTCAAGACTAGAACCTTCATTATGAAGAGTTTTTGAAACACACACACACACACACACACACACACACACACACACACACACGGCATCTTACTTCCTCAGGAATCTTCACTAGACCTGGCCAAAGTGGCTGATGGCCACTCTCTGTGACAAGGACCCATTCTCCCTCCCACACACTCCATTCCATGATGAGACCAAAGCACAGGAGTCATGAGGGGGCTTATCCAAGGCCCCTAGGTGAGCTAAAGCCAGACACTGGTCTCAGATAGGAAACACAGCTGCTTTGGTTTGATGCCTCTAAAATGATGAGAGCAAGAAAACCAGTCTTGTTAACCCCAGAGACACTTGACTCTTACGTTTTGACCCTGGCCTGTGTTTCTGTTTGCTCTGTTTTTTACCCAGCCCTGGCAGAAGTGGTCAACACAAAAGTAAAATTGACAGTCACTATAGTGACATGGCATGCTTATTATTCACAAAGAAATGAAAGAATGAAAAGAAAAAACGCCTGGCAGAAGTTAGATCTATAAAATTTGACCTTGGGAAACTGGATATAAATAGTGCCCATGAAAAAAATTCTAAGGTGGCAGAAGACACAACTGATAATATTTGTTATGGGGGAAAAAAAACAGATCAGTCATAAAACATATGAAAATCATTTACTCCAATAAAAGTAATTTTCACAAAATGAAACAGCTGGAACAAGTCTAACCTGTTGTAGAAAAATGATCAAGAAATTATATTCTTTGGGGGAGATGATTTCAGATAATTTTTTTATTTTAAAGAGAAAAATGTAAAACAAAATTTCAAGACAAGATAATAACAATGATTAATACATTGCATATTGTTATTTTTAAATTAGTTACTCAGAGTCCAAGATATAGGCATTTAATTGTCTAAACAATATTAGCACAAACCTTGCTTTTCAATGAACTAAGAGAAATTAGTAGTATAACTATCTTAACTATCATATATATATATATGTATACATATATATTTGCTTTTCCCTCCCTTTTTTCCATTCCCACATCCCAGTTTCTCTCTCTCTGTTTTTTCTTGGTACTGGGAATCAAACTCAGGACATTGCGCTTGCCAGGCAGGTGCTTGTGCCACTGAGCTATATCCCCCACCCAGTTTCTCTTTCCTTTTGAAGTTTCTTCCCATTTTACAATATCTACTGTACAGTTTGGAACTTATTTTTCAGCTTTGTACACTAGGGAGACAATATGATGTTTACACATGTGCATCTGGTTTATTTCACTTATGAGTATGGTCTTGAGTTGCATCCATTTACCTATTAAAGTCTCTAGTTTATCCTTCTTTATGGCTGAGTAGTACTCCACTGTATAAAAATACCACATATTTTTTATCCATTTCTTGGTTGATGAGTATTTGGGTTATGTCCAACATCTAGCTATTATAAACTGTGCTCCTATAAACATGAGTGCACATATATTGCTGTGGTATGATGTTTTTAATTCTCCTGGCAAGATACCCAGCAGGGGAATAGCTGGGTCAAATAGGAGCTCCCATCCTAGTTCTTTGAGGAATCTCCACACTGATTTCCACCGGGGTTGCATCAGTCTACACTCCTACCAACAATGGAAAAGGGTTCATTTTTCCCTACAGACCCTCCAGCATTTGTTATTGGTTGATTTCTTGATAATAGCCATTCTTTCTGGGGTGAGATGGAATCTCAGTGCCGTTTTAATTTGCATCTCTCGAATGACCAGTGATGTCAAACATTTTTTCATGTATTTGCCATTTACATTTATTCATCTGAGAGGAATGTATTCGTGTCAGATGCCCATTTTTGGGTTGGGTCTTTAAATCTGGGAGGCCTGATGTTTTTGAGTTCTTTACATGTTCTTGATAGTAACCCTTTGTCTGAGGAATGGCTGTGTACCGTTCTTTCCCTCACTGTGGGTTGTCTCTTCAGTCTGTTGATGGTTGGGATGAGCTGTCTACGCTGGACAGCTCCGATATGAGCACCAGCTACACAGAGCTGGAATCTGCTTGCTGCCAAGTCCACCATCCATCTCTGTCAAACCTGCAAACCCACAGAATGAACCTCTTCCCATTTGTCATGGCTGCTTGAGACAGTGCAGTAAAACAGGATGTGGTGACGTGCTGTTGGCCCGGTGGCTCCTTTTATGAAAAGAACTCTACATTGCCTCCCCTTTCTACAGCCGGAGACACAATTTAACTCCACTCAGGGCTTCCATTTTCTTAAGCACATTTCCTGTTGTGTGGGTTTTGGCCAAAAGCAGTGAGTGTAGATACACCCAAGCCAAGGGGAGGGGAATTCTTTGGTTATTTGCTGAGCAAAAGCTTGTTAATAAGACGAGATCCCAGTTGTTGATTCTTTGTGATAGTTTCTGTGTGATCAATATTTTATCAATAAAGTCTGCCTATACCAAAATTTTCAAGAGCTTTACCTATTCTATCTTCCAGCCTTATGTTTCTGTTTTAATGTTTAGATCCTTGATCAATTTCAAATTTAGTTTAGTGCATGGTGAAAGAAAGGGGTCCAATTTTAATCTTCAGCATTTGCAGAGCCAGTTTTTCTAGGACGGTTTATTAAAAAGGCTATCTTTCTTCCAGTGAATGTATTTGGCACCTTTGTCAAAGATAAAGTGGCTGAGTATGTCTGGAGTTGTTTCTGCATCTTCTAATCTGTTCCATTTATCTTTGGTCTGTTTTTGTGCCAGTACCAAATTGTTTTTATCACAGTAGCTTTATAGTATAATTTCAAATCAGGGATTGTGATGCCCCCTGCCTTGCCTTTATTGCCCAGAACTGCCTTTGCTATTTTAGGTCTCTTCTGGTTCCAAATGAATTTTAGGATTCTTTTCTCTAATTCTGTGAGATATGCTATTGGAATTTCAATTGGAATTACATTAAATGTATATAACAGTTTTGGAAGTATGACTGTTTTCACTACATTGATTCTTCCTACCCAACAGCAAGGGATAGCTTTCCATTTTCTGATATCCTCTTCAATCTCCTTTTTCAGAGTACTATAGTTTTCAAGGTAGAGGTCTTTCACATCCTTCAGTAGATTGATTCCTGGGTGTTTCATTTTTTGGATGCTGTTGTGAAAGATGTTGTTTCCCTAATTTCTCTCTCAGTGAGCTTGTTATTTGTGTACAGGAAGGCTATTAATTTTTGAGTGTTAACTTTGTATCCAGTTATGCTACTGAATTTGTTTACTAAATCTAGCAGTTTTTTAGTGGACTTTTTGGGGTCTCCTATGTACAGAATCATGTCAACTGCAACTAATGATAATTTAACTTCTTCTTTTCCTATCATTATTCCTTTTCTTTCTCTTGTCTAATTGCTCTGGCTAAAGTTTCCAGGACTGTGTTGAGTAAGAGTGGAGATAGTGGGCATCCTTGTGTTGTTCCTGATTTTAGAGTGGAAGCTTTCAATTTTTTCTCATTTAGTATGATGTTGGCTATTGGTTTGTCATAGATGGCTTTTATCAGATTGAGATGAAGACCATCTATTCCAATTTTCTGTAGGATTTTTTATCATGAATTGGCACTGAACTTTGTTGAAAAGCTTTTCCAGCAACTATTGAGAAGATCATGTGATTTTTGTCCTTGGCTCTGTTAATATGGTGTATTACATTTACTGATTTATGTATGTTGAACCATCCCTGTATCCCTGAGATCCCACTTGATCATGGTGTATAATCATTCTGCTTTCTGTTTGCCATTATCTTATTGAGGATTTTTGCATTTATGTTCATGAGGGAGATTGGCTTGCAATTCTCTTAGCTGAGTCATTCTCTGGTTTTGATATCAGGGTAATGCTTGCTTCCATGAATGAACTTGGGAGTATTGCTTCCAGTTTAATTTCATTAAAGAGTTTGAGAAATAATGGCATTAGGTTTTCTTTAAATTTCTTGTAGAATTCACCAGTGAATCCATCAGGGCCTGGGCTTTTCTTTGTTGGTAGGTTTTTAATTACATCCTTGATTTCATTGATTGATATTAGTTTATTTAAGATTTTTAAATCAAGAAGATTTAGCTTTGGTAATTAATATGTATCTAGGAATCTGCATTTCTTCTGCATTTTCCATCTTATTAGAATATGTTTCCAAAGTAGGTATAGATGATCTCTGGATTTCTTCAAGGTCTGTTGTGATTTCACCCTTTTCATTCCTAATTACATCAAGTTAAGTCTTCTCTTTCCTTTTTTGATAAGGTTGGATAAAGGTTTGTTGATTGTATTTAATCTTTCAAAGAACCAACTCTTCGATTCATTGATTCTTTGTATTTTTTTTTTAGTCTCCAATGCATTAATTTCCGCTCTGATTTTTATAATTTCCTCCCTCATATGAACTTTTAGCTCAGCCTGCTCTTCTTTTTCTAGAAGTTTGAGGTTCAACAGTAAGCTGTTTATTTGTGCTTGCTCTGTTTTCCCGATATGGGTATTCAGTGCTATAAATTTCTCTCATGGGACTGCTTTCATTGTGTCCCATAAGTTCCAGTACGCTTTATTGTTGTTATCATTTAATTATAGAAACTGTCACATTTCTTCTTCAATTTTATATGTGACCTATTGGTTTTTCAGGTGGGTACTATTTAATTTCCACGTGTTTATGAAGTTATTGTGGTTTCTTTTGCCATTGACTTCCAATTTCATTGCACTATGGTCTGATAATATGCATGGGATAATTTCTATTCCTTTGCATTTACTTAAGCATGTTCTATGAGTTAGTAAGTGGTCTATTTTGGAGAAAGTCCTATGTGCAGCCAAGAAGAATGTGCATTCTGATGTTGTGGGGTGGAACACTCTCTAGACATCTATTAAGTCCATTTGTTCAAAAGTTTGGTTCAGTTGTAACATTTCATTGTTGATTTTTTGTCTAGTTGATCTGTCTTTTTGTGAAAGTGGGGTATTGAGATCCCCCAGTACAATTGTATTAGGGTTTATTTGATTTTTCATGCCCATTAATATTTGTTTTATACAGTTGGATGCACTG